CTTCTTCTTCTTCTTCTTCTTCTTCTTCTTCTTCTTCTTTTTTGGTACCAGGGATTAAACTCAGGTCCTTCTGCTTGCAAGGCAGGTGGCAGAACCACTGAGCTAAATCCCCAGCCCAATTTTCTACTTCTTTGTGTGAGAAATGTCTGTTCCTTTCAGATGCCCATTTTTGGATTGGGTCTTTAAATTTGGGAGGTCTGATTTTTTTAAGTTCTTTATAGAATGTAGATAGTATACCTTTGTCTGAGGAACAGCAGGTGAAGATTTTTTCCCACATTGTGGGTTGTCTCTTCACACTGCCATTGCTTTCTCTTGCTGTGCAGAACCTTTTTAATAAGGAGAGATCCCACTTGTTGATTGTATGAAGGCACGGGCTTTAGTAATTAACAAGGTGTTAATATTGGGTCATCAATTGTAAATAAATACACCATCCTCCAGTAAGACACTCCCAACAGGGAAAACAGCATGTGGAGACATGGGGGCTCTGTTCTACTTTTGCAACTTTTCTGTAAATATAAATCTATTCTAAACTTAATGGGTACTGGGTAAATGGTATGCTAAAGATTATAGGTGGCTCAAACATCTGATTTAAATTAGCTGGCTTACTCTTTACGGTAATATGTCTTGATAAAAACTCATTTTCTACTCAATGTGGAATGGGGTGGGTTTGAGAGGCAAAGTGTAAGGGGAGATATTTGGAAAAGAAAATACCTCACAGGGGAGACTCAGGTATGGCCTGAGGAATAAGAGTAGGTGTTAGGACAATCATTTTGCATATCAATTGGTAATAAAATCTAGTGTTTTGTTTGTTTACAAAGAAAAATTGAAGCTATAAATGCTATAGATCACGTCAGGGTTTGGGATCGTGTGAGGTGGAGCATGCAGTGAGAAGAAAGTATTAAAAAAAACAGGCTGAAAGCACCAGGTCCCGAGTTTGATCCCTGGTAACAAAAACAAAATGCTGATTCCATCACCTGCCTCAAAAGCTCAAGGTCCCAAGTTCGATCCTTGGCACACACATATAAAAAAAGTAGCTGCACGTTTGGTATTGGACACAGGTGCAATGGGGAGATAGGAACAGCTCTTTCTCATATTGACTGTCACCACACCTTTCCCTGTACCCCAAAGTAAAAGTTCATCTTAATAAAAAGACAAAACAAGCCATCCTTTTTCATGGTAGTATATGTACAAACATTTTAATTCATCCAAATGTCTTGCTAGCTTTAAAGAAATTCTGTGTTTGTGTAACAGAGGCACCCTTGAGCATAAAGCTACCACCCAGGAGACTGAGGAGTTCCCAGCCCAGTAGGGTAAACCTTGGAGACTGCCATCGAGGGGCCTTCTCTTCCCCAGCTGTTACCATTGACACTGTATACCAGGGTGTCTAGGACACTTGTGTTACAAAAGGCTTCAGAGAAAACATGATCAATGTTGTGTTGGCCACTATAACCATCACAGTGTTTAGGGTCCAGGTCAACATTTTAAGAGCATGCTGACCTTTACCACATCACTAATCACACTTCCTCTGACACTCCAAATCAAAAGATCATCTGGTCACTTACTGTCAAGGTTCTCATCACTGGCTGTCACTTAGAACTACACAAGAAGCTTTAAAAAAAAAAAAGGCCAAAAACTAGGACCCCATATGCTGATATTCTAATTTTACTGGTTTGAGAGGAGACCCAAATGTCAATATTTAGAAATTTTTCTCAGATGAGAAGCACCAGCCTAATTCTTGTCTGCCTTCTGCTGAGCACAGTCTCTTCGCAAGTTGGGTTTGTTCTAATCCAATGGGTGAAATGAGGGCTCAGGACAAACTGGCACCCCGATAACTTCTCCTCACCTCTCACACTCACCTTTGAGTGAAAAAAGGCTTCCAGTCACCCCCGCCCCCTAGTTTCACTGACTTTACCTTTTGAGTCTCAGTTATCCATTCTTGTGGGCTTTTGGGGTCTTCTTCCACCCAAACTGGAGATGGCTACTACACAATGGAGAGAGTGGGTATCCAAGTCACGTTCTGTCTGAATATCCTGTTGAGGTCATGAGGACTCTTCAAGACAGCACACTAAACCAGAGAAAGAGGAAAGCTAAAGGTAAGCACTTAAGGGGGCTTCCGGGTGTATCACAGTCAAAGGGGAGGAGGGGCCTGCCGACCAGCTGTGGTGACTGGTGACCTCCGGCCCTTTGTGAGGTTCTGGTGGTGCGGTCGGTCCCTTTGTGAAGGTCTCTGCTGTTGGCGGCTCCCGCGTGGGTCAGTCCTGCTGTGCGCGCCCTGAATGTCTCCCTGCTGCCTGAGCCAGATAGAAGCCCTTCAAGCAGGCCCGGTGGGTGCCGGGCCTCTGGGTCCCGTGGAAAGGGTGGTGAGGTGGCTGCGGTGCCCTCTCAGCCATGTTGGGCGGTCAGGTGGGGAGTGGCTGAATCCAAAGTTGGAGTAGGAGGCGGCAGGCATGGAGAGGGGAGGATGCAGGATCCCTGGGGCCTGAGGCTGAGGGAGGGGAGGAAAGCCTGTCGGACCAGCTGGACTGAGAAGGTTCAGGCTGCTGAGAGTTAGGGGCTTCCAGGCCAGGCCCTGCTGGCCAAGCGAGAAGGCGGGGACCACAGCAGGGCCTATGCCGCCCACCAAGTCCCGGACAGCACCCTGTGATGTCTTGGGGGACAGAGAGCACGGAGCCGAGCCCCTCCCCCCCCCGCCGCCCGCCCGCGGACCCTCTGCGGGCTGTCACCCACACACCGGAGGACCCCGCCGCTCTGTGGGACACTGCCTCTGCTCCCTCCAGCGTACCTCAGAGGTCCTGTTTTCCCAGAACCTGGCCGCCTGCCGCCTGACACCCACGGGGCAGAATCCGGCTCCGGGTGAAGTCTCTCCTGGCCACCTGCTGGTCCTTCCTGCAGTTGGCGCTGGGTGTCATGCGCAGCGGCGACCACTAGGTGCCACGGAGATCCCGACAGGACCCCCTCGCCCACCTTCCCTTGCAGGGCTGAGCCAGGGCAACCTCTTCACAGGTCAGGTTTGTTCTCCTGCAATGGGCGAAATGACGGCGCCCCCATATCTTCCCCTGGCTTCTTAAGCATACCTTTGAGTGAAGGAAGCTGAAAGCCACTTTCTGCTCACCCCTTTACCTTCCTCTCCCCTTCCACCCCCTGCAGCCAAAGAATGTGGGCATGCGCAGCATCTCATAGTATAGGAGCTGCCAATGTAGTTGTCATCGACTCTTCCTGTGTTCCCCACGCCTCCTTCCCCACGTGGTGGGGGACTGGGGGCCCAGGTCCTCTTTTAACCTCTGCATAACTGACACCAAAGTGACAGGGAGTACTCTAGGTTTGGTTGAGGTCTTGGGTGACATTTTACTTATGTGACTTTGAGGTAGCTACTTAGTCTCTTTGTGCCTAGGATTCTTGGTATGCACAATGGAGTTTGTAATAGTACCTATGTCATGGAGTTATGGGGAGAATGCAATAACCATATATGAAAGCACTCATAAATGTCTGGCATGTATGAAGCACCCATTCACGTTAGCCATGCTGATTTCTCATTGTGGACCCTCATAGTAAGGTCTCAGTACCTATTTTTCTTGCTGTTTCCAATCTAGAGTTCCTAGTTTGTGACTGTGGCATATGTCTCTTGCTTTTTGACTGTGTCTGGTGGTGGTTAAGTGCACTTTTAAGGAATTTTATTATTATTATTATTATTACTATTATTATTTTATTTCTTTTTTTTTCTTGAGACAGGGTCTCCCTATGCAGTTCAGCATGGCCTTGAACTCCCTATGTAGTTCAGTCTGGCCTTGAACTCATGGGGACCCTCTTTCCTCAGCCTCCCAAATGCTGGGATTACAGGTGTGCACCCTCCCCAGTTTAGGAATTAATTTTTTAAATTTGTGTGACAAATATTTTTCATGTACCACATGATGTTTAGAAAAATATATACATGGAAGAATGCTAAATTGAGTTAATAAACATACACATTACCTCACTTATTTCTTTTTTTTGTGAGAACACTTGAAATCTACTCTTTTGACAGTTTTCAAGAATTTGATGTCATGTTGTACCATTGTTCTCTTAAAAGAGATTTGTCTACCCCACCACACCCCGGTAACCACTATTCTACTCCCTGGTTCTATAAATTCAATTTCATTTTTAAAGATTCCACATGTTAGTAAGATCATATAGTATTTGCCTTTCTATGCCTTCCTTATTTCACTTAGCACAGTGTTCTTCAGATTCATCCATGTTGTCACAAATGAGAAGATTTCCTCCTTTTTTGGAAGGTCTGAAGAGTATTGTGGACTCCCTCAGTTGAGGAGTCAAAGATGAGTGCTGAGGAGAATGAAGTAAATAAAGTTTGCTAGGCAGAGTACTAGAGAGGGCGGTGCATGGAGACAAAACTTAGATCTGCAAAGAGACTTGTATGTTCATGAAACTACCTAAGAGTCACCCAGGAGAACTGGAAAGAGCAGTATGCACAACTCACATAGGGCTGAGATAGTAACTGTTCTCACCAGCTAGCCTTTAAAAGTTCAAAGTTCAGGTGCTTGGGTAGAACACTCAGAAAATCTTTGCCTCAGTGGCGCAGAATAATTATCCTTGCACTAAACATGTTTCTGGTGTCACCCCTCAAAAATCCAAAGAATCAAACTTACTAAGTAATTTAACTACACCATAGTTTTAAAAAGTTAAAAAAAATTTCTAGAAATAAAAAACATTCAGTACCAAATAAGGTAAAATTCAGCATCTGAAATCCAATAAAAAGTTACATGATACATAAAGAATCAATAAAATACAACTCACAATGAAGGAGAAATCAGACAAAAATGGCCTGAATCTGACAGAGATATTAAAACTGGCAGAAAAACAACTGCTGTAACTATATGTGTATGTTCAAAAGTTTTAATAGAGACATGAAAGATGTATTTCAAAAAAACCCCTCTGTTTTAGGTCACTTTCTTGTTGCTGGGACACAATATCTGACACTTAAAGGAGAGAGACTTAATTTGGCACATGATTCAGGGGATTTAGTCCATGGTTTCCTGGCTCCAAGAAAGAAATATCAAGATAGAAAGCTGCTCACCTCAGGGCAGAGAATGGAGAAGCCAAGAAGATAACAATACCCACAGTGGCACACCCCCAGGGACACACCTTTTCCAAAAAGGCCCAGTCTCCTAACAGCACATTTAGCTATGAACTCATCCACAGACCAGTCCAGTGATAAGTGTAGTGTTCCCATGATCCAGTCACCTTCCAAAAGCCCCATCTCTGAACATATGAGACTTATGAGAGACATTCTAGCTCTAATGCACAACAGATCCCAAATCAAACTTCTTTTAGTATATATGCTGCCGAAGCGAGCACCAAATCAAACTTCTTATGGTGTTGAGAACTGCAATATTTAAAATGAAGACTATACTGATAAGATTAACATCAGTTTAGACATTGCAAAGGTTAGTGAACTTAAAGATTTAGCAAAAGAAACTATCCAAAATGAAATGTAGAGGAAAAAACAATATAAAAAATAAAAGAATACCAGTGAGTTGTGGGACACCTTGAAGCACTCTAATACATGTGCAGTAAAGTATCTCCCAAAGTAGGAAATATTTGAAATAATATCTGAAAATGTTCCAAATTTCATTAAAAATACAAATTCACAGATTCAAGAGGTTCAATGAATCTCAAACACAAACAACATAAAGGAAACTACTCCAAAGTATATTATAATCACATTACTAAAAACAACAAATAAAAAAAGTCTCAAATGTAGTCAGAGAAAAAAAGACCCCATATGTTTAGAGGAAGAAAGATATGGATGATAACACATTTCTCAGTGGAAACAATGTCATCCAGGCAATAGTGCAGAAATATCTTTAAACACTGAGAGAAAAAAATCTGTTAACCTAGAACACTACACTTGGTGCAAATAACCTTCAGAAACACAGGCAACATAAAGAGATGCACTGTAGCTGAGCAGATTCATCGCTAGTGACCTACTCTATGGGAAGTCCTGTAGGCAGAAGGAGAATAATTACAGAGGGAAATATGGATCTATAAAGGAACAAATAGCATCAGAAATGGTAACTATATGGCTGACTATATTAGATTTATTTTTTAAATCACTTTTAAAATAATTGCTTAGACAAAATATATATTGTTGAGTGTATATGATGTAGAAATAAAATGTATGACAATAGTGGTATGAAGGCTGAGAGAAAATATGTGAATGTATAGTATTGTGAAGTCCTTATTCCTATACTAGAAGTTTCATACTTTCCAATTTTAAAAGTAAAGTTGTGTAAATAGTGTATATTATAATCTCTAAAGCAAATGTTAAAATAGCAAAACAAAGTGCTGCAACTAATAACTGATAAACTGAGAAAAGAGTTAAAATGAAATCATAAAATTACTCAACAACTGCAAAAGAAAGTCATATAACCAAGTAGAAAAACAAAACACATAAGATAAGTAGAAAAGAAATAAAAAGATGGTAAAGTTAAGTAAGCCTAACTATAGAAATGTTTACAAAATATTGTTTATACATGCTATTTAAATTGTAGAATTGTCAGCTTGAATTGTTAGATTGGATTAAGAAGCAAAATCCAATTATATGCTGCCTACAAGAAACAAACTTTAACTATATTGACAAAAATAACAATGAAAGGATTAAAATAATACATCATTTAAACACTAATCAAAGGAAAAATCAAGAGGTTATATTAATAGTAAACAATGTAAATTTCAGAGATTTCCTTATCCTAGATTTTAAAAGATTATTTTATTATATTAAAATTCTTAATTTCATCAAGAACATATAATAATAAAAAAGGGTTTATGTACCTCTCAACAGAACTTCAAAATATATTTTTATAATAACTAAAAATTCTGCAAGAAGACAAATCCTTAATTAGAATTAGGAATTTCAGGGCCATGCTTTCAAGAATTAATAGTACAAGTTACCCCCAAATTAGAAAAAACATTTAAGATTTGAACAACACTAACAACTTGAAATGATAGACATTTAAAACATTCTGTTTAAGCTGGGGTGGTGGTGGCACATGCCTGTAATCCCAGCACTGGGGAGGCTGAGGTAGGAGGATTGCCTTGAGTTCAGGGCCAGCCTGAACTACAAAGTGAGACCCTGTCTCAAAAGACAATCAACAACAACAACAACAAAACAAATAAAACATTCTCTTTTGCAGAAAAAAGTACACATTATTTTCAAGTACCCAGAAATATTCCTCAAGATAGACCATATTTTGGGCCTTAAAATAAGTGTCAACTAGTTTAAGGGTTCAAGTAATACCAGGAATATTCTCTGATCAAATGGAATTAAAGGTCAATAATAGAAGCATTTTCAGAAAAACCCTCACATATTTTAAAACAAAATCATACACTTAGAAATAACACTAATGTCAAGGTAGAAACAAAAGGAAAAATTGGAAAATATTTTCAATGGAGTGAACATGAAAAAGCATGTATCAAAGTTTGTGGGATACCACTAAAGCCAGTACTCGAGGTGAATTTATAGCATGAAACACTTGTATGAGGAAAGTAGAAAAGCCCCAGATCCATGACTTCAGCTTCTATTTGAAAAAGAGAAAATTAAACACAAAGAAGCAGAAATAAGGAAATAAAACTGGAGTGAAAATGGTGAAATAAAAGCAGAAAAACAGTTGAGAAATCAATGAGACTAAAAGCTAGTTCTTTGAAAAAATCAGTAAAACTGATAAGACTCTAACAGAATAATTAAGAAAAAAAGAGAAGGTAAAAATATCAATATGGGAGGGGGAGAGAGGGGAGGGAGAGAAAGAGAAGGGGATGAAAAAGATTTGTTATGTACGGGGACCAACTTTCCACGAGCGATGTAATCATCATGTACGAGGACATGTACTAGTAAAAGCTAACATTTAATAAAAAAGGTTGGAAAAGGAGTCATCACCACAGATTTTATGTGTTAAAAAGTATGGTATTATTAAGAACAACTTTATACCAATAGAATGAAAATTTAAGTGAACTGAATACATTCCTTGCAAGACCTAAGCAAGGAAAACTCCCTAAAGAATGTATATCTTAAACTAAAAATTCAATTTTAAAACTAAAGGCACTGTTATACATTCTTTATGAGAGTTTTGGGT